CACAACTTCAACTTTCCACTGAGAAAAGACCAAAAACCTCATCAAACCACAACACTCCTGGCTATGGGATACTAATGAAGACTCTGTTCACTGGCATGTATGATCCAGGGCTCAAGTGTTGAGTTTGGACCATGCTTCAAGTCAAGAACAGGGCAACTGTTGACCAGGGCATCCTGTGTTGATGTTGCTCTTGAACTTGGAACTAGTCCTCACTGACTGAATTCAATGCACAGTGAGATCTTCCATCAAGCATCCATATTCTTAGGGAAATGCAATATCTGAATCCTCAATCCAGTCTATCTCATATGAATACTATGACTCAGCTGTAGTGATGCGAAACAAAGAAGGGTTAGGAGTCTTTGGTATGTGTGCTCTTGTTGAGTTCAATGCATAGTACATCATCCTTAATCATCACTCCCTACTTACTCATTTCCCCAGATATACTCCCCTCCTCTCAAACCTCTTTCTCCCGCAAACAGACTAGTTTCTTCTTCCTTGGGAGGTTAGCTAGGACTTACACCATTATGCTTTAGAGCTAGTGTCTATGAGGTTGTTGATTGGTCGCATTGTTAAGAACCATGTTGCTCAAAGGGAGAGAGAGACTGACTCAGAGGGGCTTGGCCTCAGCTCATATGCTGTGCCCCTTACCCGAGTATGTGCCCTTCATTTCGTATGAGGTCTGATGATGGTCCAACAAAGTCCGGAGGCTGGCTACTCTGCTGGAGAGCGCTAGAGGACTTCCGGAGGAGCGCGGGAGAGTTCCGGAGGAACACAGGAAGTGCTCAGGAGTGTTCCCACTGCAAGGTAATACTCCTACAGGAAACAGGATGGAAGGATGGGAGGTCCAAAGGTCTGGAGGACAGGAGGACAGGATGTCCGAAGGTATGGAGGGTGGAATGTCCAAAGGACAGGATGCCCGGAGGTATGAGGGACAGGAGGTCCAGAGGTCCAGAAGGAATAGGGGCTACATCGGACGAAGTCCGATGTAGAAACAAACAGAGGTAGACTACCCTAAGGTAGAGTTGGAGAGACAGGGATTTGACCTAAGTCCGGAAAGAGGGTAAGTGCTGGAAAGGCGGAGCTCCGGCCTAGGGAATCAATCCCTAGGCCTGATGGGTAGGACAGACTTAGGTGGACCAAAGTCTGAGAGAGGATTGGGCAAGTCTAAGTTGATATTCAGACTAAGGAACTACAGGAGTATCTACAGGGGTTATATACTGAACAATATCTGAGGGGATCAGTAAGCAAAGGAGCAAGGCTATGTACGAGCATGTGGAAACACATTAGTAAGTAAGTCAGAACATAAGTAAATGAACTTGGAGATGAGGACTTGTACAAGGATCAATAAGCAAGACAGAACAAGAGGTAACCGAAAGCTGGAAGGCAGAGAATGCCTAAATGGGGATAGGCGCAGGATATCAGACAGAGGGTGGGAATAGGTCCGGAGTTAATATCCGGAGGTCCAGAGATCTGGGGATCCAGAAGACAAGGTGGATACAGGACCGGAATACGAGAAGGTGGATATAGTCCAGAATCCAAGATGAGGTGAAGTTCAGATGTCTTGCTGGATGGAGTGTGCATAGGGTGGACAGGATAGGGTTGTACAGATCAGGCTAGCAGTGAGGATCCAGAGGTCCGGAGCTCAGGGGTAAATCTGGAGCATAGTCAATCCTGCTGAGGTGTGGAGCACAGCAGAAGGGGATCTGGGAATGAGCTGGATATGAAGTGGGGTCAGGATGTGGGCTCGGAAGGCGTGGGAATACTATGGAATGTGAGTCCGGATTGTGGGATATGACACACATGCAGAATGGTAGATGAGTGAATTGGATTGGATATTGCTGGTTTCGTTTGAAGTTTGGATTGCTGATTTGGTGTTCTTAATGGGCAGAAGTACATCATTCCCAATCATCACAACAATCATCCCTCACAATAGATGAACAATGCACTTCCCACAGATACACCTCTCTCCTCCAAATGCACAATATCCATCCCTCAGCACTACAGCAATCAGAGGAGGGAGAATGTGAGGAGGAGGAGAGTATGCAGAGATAGAGATAAGGAACTAGGAGAGGATTCATCTTACTTGTTAGATGGTTTGGGGGGGGGGGGTTGGCTGATGGGTCAGGGCTGGCATTCATGAGCTGTTGATCAGTCATTCTTCTGTGCATACAGTATGTGAACTAGATTGCATGTTTTGATATTGCTGATTCAGATTGGCTCTTCTGACTGGTGGTGATTTGGTGGATTGCCAGTAGTGAGGCTTTGACTTTGGATTTTTTTGTCATTGGCCTTTGGTTTGATCAGTTGTTCTGCCACACATACGGTATGTGGACTAGATTGTGTGTTTTGATATTACTGATTCAGATTGGCTCTTCTGACTGGTGGTGATTTGGCAGGTCACTAGTAGTGAGACTTTGACTTTGGATTTTTTTGTCATTGGCCTTTGGTCATGTCAAACCTTTTATCATGATCATTGATTTGTTGGCACTGACAGGTTATCACCATTGTTTGTATTTATGGAGGTATTGTGTCCGGTGCACATATGTGTGAAGAGAAGTAGCTCAGTACCATCTTAGTGGGTTGCATGTTTTATTCTCAGCACATAAAGCATAGTGCTAATTTGTCCTGACAGCCAAATAAATTTCTGTTGAACTCACAGACTGTGCATGCACCAGAATGAAGATGACATCTACACATCACTCTGGTAATAAGAACCCATCAGAGGACCCTCTGAAATGCAAAGGTTTTTTGGATGGTTCAAAGTGTGAAGTCCCAAAAGTCACCAAAGTCACTAAAGTTGTGTCTCGAGCATTGACTTATGACCACCTGCCCTGGTTGACCCATCATGCCAAATACACGGTGTATTCAGCTCAAGCTATGACCAGTCCTAGCAAGGGCCTTGATAAGGGCTTAAGAGCAATGATGAAGAAGGATCCTCCCCACTTCAATTTTGAGATGGTCTACATGAGCCTTCCAGCGACCTTGTTCTGTACTTTGTAATCATCATGACTACAGTTCTCCAAAGAGGAGCAGGATGCAAGAGCAGTAGAAGAGAAGAGGGATCCGGACATGGGAAGTGTATTCAGGGGACCATGAAGTCTATTTCCCCAGCTAGATGGGTATGCTACTTTTTTTTGTTTATGTGCACTTGTCATGTTGTCATCATGTTTTAGGGAATATAGTATGTCCTGGATCTTCATCATAGGCTCTACATTGTGATCATCAACAAATGTGGTGATGAGTCACAAGGTCAAAGTACAGCCCAAATGACTGGTATTGATGGGCACATGTCTGGCCATTTATTCCCACTGTCGAACAAGGATCCATCGATCTAATGTGAGTGCAAATATTTTGCACATCATTGAATTTATCTCATGATTGCTCAGAAACAGCAGTCATATCGCAAGTTCATGCCAGCCCCTCAGTCAGTTTCCTTACACAACTTTGTCAACCTCCTTGCTGTGTTGGTTTGTGTGGAGCTCACTTGTGTTGAATTTTGGACAGTTGTAGAGTTCATTCCTTGCCATACACCAGATATTTTTTTGTCAGATGAATGTCTTGTATGCGACAGCATAGTCTATCAAGCTATCAGTTGTCACTTTTACTAGTGATGGCAGTGTCATGACCACTAGTAGGTGGTATCTTGAAATTTTCAGCTGTCTCCAATACTGTTAAGGTTGTGTGCTCAAGGGGGTCAGATCACAAGGGCTTGGCCTCAGCTCATACACTGTGCCCCTTTCCCAAGTATGTGCCCTTAATTTCCGGGGGCTAGAACAGTTGTCCGGAGTTTCCAGGATTTGACTAGGGCGGATAACGGACATCCAGATCTGAAACATGAGATAAATCTGACGGACGTCCGGATGTTACCTGGGCAAGCAGATAAGACTAATCTGGACAAAGTCTGGACTAGAAACTAACAGAGGATGGACTACCTTAAGGTAGAGTCAGAAATGTAGTCTAGGATGCAATCCTAAGACTTGGAATATGACAAGAGACTTATCTCGAGTCCGGAGGACACAGGAATGAGCAGGAACTAAGATGATATTCAAACTGGAGTATTTCCGAGAGTTACAGGAGGTTTATATACTGTAGGTATCATATAGGAATCAGTCAGCAAACATAAAGGCTATGTACAAAGCATATGCAAAGTCTATTAGTGAGTAGGACGGATCACAAATAATGAACACTGGAAATGAAATGTATGTAATGGATCAATAATCAAAAGGGAAACATGGTTAACTGGAGTCTAGAGACAGGGGCAGTCTAAATGGGGTTGGGTGCTGATATAGGGTTTGGATTCTGGAAGGGAGATAAAGATAGATCAGATCATTTGAGATCCAGATCTTGGGTCCAGATATCCAGAGAAGTGGATTTAGAGTTGGGAGTCCAGAATGGCATATGACAAATACTAATGCCAAGGCCACCCTGTATGTCATAGACATATCCCGTTCAGGCAAGCAGTACCTTTGCCAAATACTACTAAAAAATGAAGTATTGAAAGTATGCCTCAGGCTAACATTGATGCTTTCCAAAATAGGCATTTGTTCAAGTCACTTCATGCTGACGTTACCACTAGTGTTCTCCTCAATAGGTATATGCATTTTAAGCGTTGTTCCTAGCTGTATATAAGATGTGAACTGGTAGTCCATCCTTCATCCCTCCTCTTGTACTTTCCCTTGACTAACATCCCTTCTATATTTTCTCCCTCCTGTTTCTATTGCATTACACAGCAGGTGCAGCATGTCATATGCCAAGGGCAGCATGTCATTTGATGATGGCAATACATTGCACATTGATAACTGACAGACTGAAGGCAATACATCGAATCTTGAGGGCCAGCACAGCCAACAGTCTGATACCACAGCAGCATCTGCAGAGGCTCAATAGAGATGAAAAATTGTGCAACTGGAGGAGAAGCTGGAGCTCCTTGAGTCAGGACACATGGTCAAGGAAAGGTATGGCCTCTATTGTGAGTAGGGAGTTGACTTCTCTCACTATCTACCAGGGAATCAAACTACTATATGGCTCAAGGGAGGGCAATCAGGCATATCATCTCTCTGTTCAATAACATTGAGGACCTTGTTGCTGAAAACAACCGACGATTAGAAGCCAACAGCGATGAAGGCTCTACCCTTGAGTACATATTTTTTGCTCTCAAGTGGGTTGTGAGCACTAACTGTCATATGCCATTCTGGACTCCCAACTCTAAATCCACTTCTCTGGATATCTGGACCCAAGATCTGGATCTCAAATGATCTGATCTATCTTTATCTCCCTTCCAGAATCCAAACCCTATATCAGCACCCAACCCCATTTAGACTGCCCCTGTCTCTAGACTCCAGTTAACCATGTTTCCCTTTTGATTATTGATCCATTACATACATTTCATTTCCAGTGTTCATTATTTGTGATCCGTCCTACTCACTAATAGACTTTGCATATGCTTTGTACATAGCCTTTATGTTTGCTGACTGATTCCTATATGATACCTACAGTATATAAACCTCCTGTAACTCTCGGAAATACTCCAGTTTGAATATCATCTTAGTTCCTGCTCATTCCTGTGTCCTCCGGACTCGAGATAAGTCTCTTGTCATATTCCAAGTCTTAGGATTGCATCCTAGACTAATTTCCAACTCTACCTTAAGGTAGTCCATCCTCTGTTAGTTTCTAGTCCGGACTTTGTCCAGATTAGTCTTATCTGCTTGCCCAGGTAACATCCGGACGTCTGTCAGATTTATCTCATGTTTCAGATCTGGACATCCATTGTCCGCCCTAGTCAAATCCTGGAAACTCTGGATGACTGCTCTAGCCCCCAGAAATTAAGGGCACATACTCAGGAAAGGGGCACAGCATATGAGCTGAGGCCAAGCCCTTGTGATCCGACCCCCTTGAGCACGTGGCCTTAACACTAACTATAGGACATTTATGTAGCCAAATAGGCTGCAGATAGGGTATGCTGCCCTCACCAGCACCTTAACATGGTTTCATAAGAAGGGCATGGAAATGGAGTACGATGAATATTTACAAATGTTAAAAATGGTAGGCTTTTCCTACATCAGTGATTGGTCTTGTCTTCCTGAGCCTTCATTTAGCTTCAACATGGGGCTGACAGTGCTCAAGGTGACAACACATCAAAGCTCAAGGGTCTTGTTTCCAAATGGGTCAACCAGGAATTCAAGCCAGATCCCCTGGTTGACCCCAATGACAAACATTCACGCAGATTCACCAATGATGCATGCGGCAGGCTACTTTGCCCAGCTGAGCTTAATTGGAATGATCCTATGTGAGTACTAGTGCCTCAGGATACCAAAAACTCACTGTTTGCCAGTGTAAGGGCAGGGATTTGAGATCGCTCAGAGGCCTGTTATGTTGTAACAGACCTCTCATTTCCAACCTACCTGTATGACAAGTACACTGCTAATCCTGAAGATCTGGAGGAAGGTCTCTTCAAGAGTAAAATTCTCCTTCAGGTGTGTTGCACCAGCATAGCCTAACAGTGACCTTACCAACTTTGCAGGGATATAAAGCTGTCTTTATATCACCTTCATCAGCAAAGGATGTCAAAGGTGATGGTGATGGCATGGATGTAATCCAGCACAACAGGCATGCTAGGAAGACTGTCTCCATGATCAAGGTAAAAAAACATGTGGCACAAATCATCAAAATCAGAAAAGTCACACCTCACTTGATCACATACATTGCATGCCAAGTAAGTCGTAGCATTATATGATGTGGATAGATATTGATCACACTATGTCACAGGTTCAGTTCGCCCTGTCTTCTGTAACTTTGTGGAGGTCTGTTGATGGAGACTTCAACTATATCCAATTCTGGCAGACTATAGTAGACTTCTTCGAAAATGCACCTGGTCAAGAAGTGCAGCATAGGGCTACCAGATTGCTCAAGTGGTGGACTCAGTGTGTTGTTTACAATTTCAATAAACTTCTGCTGAACTCGTTCAGGAAAATATTCAGAAGGAGTCATCGTAATGGCCTTAGTGATGCAGCAAAGGAGAACATGTCCATCAACACTCTGGCAAGGCAGAGGACACAGCACAACAATGTCACTTTCAATTCATCCTAGAGCTCTGCTACCCCCAGTTTACTATTAGTTTGCTATTAATTACTTGAAGATAATTTCCTGGTCATTAGCTCAATTCAAGTGCCAGTTCATTAATCTTCCCATTTCTTGTCTATTGCCTGAATCAACAAAATATGGCATCAATATGGCCTTCTTCTGATTTTGAGTCATCACACGAATAGCTGGATTGAAGCATCAGTTTGTGGGTCTGCCTGTTTTTTGTTCATGGTTTGAATTGACAAGATACAGCATAAACATGACAATCTTTCCATTTTCTAGTCATCATGTGAATCGCTCAGTTCAAGTACCAGTTCATAGATCTGCCCCACAGAGTACAACCATCTTGATCTCTATGTTGTTTAATTTTGTCCTAATAGTCCGTTAGAATTGCAAGCAATCTCCCAAGTACTGTTCAAGTTCAAGTTTGTGAATCTAGAAGGTAGAGCACGACTATCCTGATCTCTATATTATTTAATTTCGCCATAATAGACTGTTAGAATGATGAATCACCTCCATAGTACCATTCAAGTTCAATTTCACAGATCCCTCTGTGTATCTTTGATATGTTGAGTCTGGGAGGTAGGGCATGGCCATCGCAGTCTCTGTAATTTTTGGTTTCACATTAGTTGATCCCTACCAAGTTTGAGCTCATGGATCTCTCAATGTATCTCCAATAGGCTGGATTTAGGAAGTAGGGTACAACCATCTTGATATCTGTATTATTTAGTTTCACCTTAATAGGCCATTATAATGACCAATTGCCCCCAGGGTACTGTTCAGGTTTGAGTTCATGGATCCATCTGTGTATCTCTCATATGCTGAATCTAGAAGGTATAGCACAACCATCCTGATCTCCATAATTTTCAGTTTCATGCTGATATATTCCCTTCACTCTAATAAGCCAATAGAATTACAGACCACCCCCAGACTATTGTTCAGGCTCAAGTTTGTTGATTGCCCCATTGGTCCCTGATAGGTTGAATCTCAGAGGTAGAGCATAACCATTCTGATTGCTGCATTTTGTAGTTTCGTGCTGATAGGATGTTATAAAGACAGTATTGTGCCAAATTGTGATTTTGTTGTCGGATGGAGGACTTAAATCATTGATATCCTGAATGTATACATACAGAATTCTCCTGTATGGCACACAGCTACACAATTGTACTGTTACATGACAAAAGAGATCTCGAGGCAAGCCATGACCCACCACTATCAATCCCTGAGCTAAGGCACTAAAGATAAACATACAGTGGCTCAAAAAACTGTCCATATGTTTTGACATTTTTCACTATCTATGATATTGTGTGAGAACGAACAAATGCCTCAAGGACATGCTTATACCACATTGTAGTATGGCTTCAGGGCTTTCATTTGAGCCCTACACCGTGGAAATCGGTGGAGATATGGTGGAGACATAAGGCTTACAAAATCATGACTCATGCAGACAGTTTTTTGAGCACATATTAAAACTATATAAATCATCATTTATGACACCATAACAATCATGCCACCATTAAATAAATTATAAAGTGGTGTCATTATGTCATTTTAAAACCATATCTAACTATACAAACCAAAAATTTCCATATGTCATGGTTATATTCACCATGAAAGCCACTCCCCCTGCTCAAAGGGATAATATCCTCTCTCTTTCCTATTCTGGCCTCTCTGCTTGTCAAATTTCCTCTAGAACTGGAGTATCCAAGTCCACTGTGGCCAAGTTCATCAAAGAAAGTCACACAGACAAGGAAAACTTCTGTGAAGGGCGTCCATCCAAGCTCACCTCTACTGATAGGAGGGCTATTATTCAACATATCACTACAGGAAAGGCTGATAATGCTGTCCAGGTCACCTATTACATCAATTCCACCATCACATTCCCTGTCTCTTCACACACTGTGAGAAACATTCTCAAGACAGCTCATCTCAGGTCAGTAACAAGGAAGAAAAGGCTCTCCTCTCTATCACACATAAACAGAGATGACTAACCTTTGCCTTAGCCCATCAGAATTGGATTACATGGACTGGAAGCATGTTATATGATCATATAAGACCACAATAAATAGGATTGGGTCAGATGGCAAGGTATATATGTGAAAAAAAAGGGTGCTAGTCCTCTCTGCATATGTGTGATAGAGAGGAGAGCCTTTTCTTCCTTGTTACTGACCTGAGATGAGCTGTCTTGAGAATGTTTCTCACAGTGTGTGAAGAGACAGGGAATGTGATGGTGGAATTGATGTAATAGGTGACCTGGACAGCATTATCAGCCTTTCCTGTAGTGATATGTTGAATAATAGCCCTCCTATCAGTAGAGGTGAGCTTGGATGGACGCCCTTCACAGAAGTTTTCCTTGTCTGTGTGACTTTCTTTGATGAACTTGGCCACAGTGGACTTGGATACTCCAGTTCTAGAGGAAATTTGACAAGCAGAGAGGCCAGAATAGGAAAGAGAGAGGATATTATCCCTTTGAGCAGGGGGAGTGGCTTTCATGGTGAATATAACCATGACATATGGAAATTTTTGGTTTGTATAGTTAGATATGGTTTTAAAATGACATAATGACACCACTTTATAATTTATTTAATGGTGGCATGATTGTTATGGTGTCATAAATGATGATTTATATAGTTTTAATATGTGCTCAAAAAACTGTCTGCATGAGTCATGATTTTGTAAGCCTTATGTCTCCACCATATCTCCACCGATTTCCACGGTGTAGGGCTCAAATGAAAGCCCTGAAGCCATACTACAATGTGGTATAAGCATGTCCTTGAGGCATTTGTTCGTTCTCACACAATATCATAGATAGTGAAAAATGTCAAAACATGCGGACAGTTTTTTGAGCCACTGTATGGCATCCATGCCAAGCATGAACACGCCTTGGCTGGTATGCAAAGGTATGGCTTTTTCACACAGATTCCCAACCGCAATATTGCAGATAACCTTTCAATATCTGAAGAAGATGGCGTCAAGAGTTCAAGTAGGACATAAATTGGTCGTCACTTGCTTGATTAACACATCATCCATCCCTAGATGGTGTTGGATTTCATGTTGAGATTTGAAGTCATGAACCTTACTTCCAACATGGTAATTGTGACTCACCTGGCTCAACTAATATCTTTGCAGGGAATCAATATACCATCGCCTCTCGATAAGCACCTCTTTCATTCTCTTGAGCATGGTGATTTCACGCTTAGCTTTGACGATATGGACCATACTTTCAACACAGTGGTAGTAAGTCATCCAGCTCAACCATCAGCATTTGCTCAACCTTCCCTTGAAGTTCGAGTTTGAGCAATGTGTGGGTCTTTTCCTGACCGCAAACTTCTGTAGGGAATTCGGGAACTATCCTTTCCTCTATAAGGTCAAACACGACAATGTGACAATCAATAGCGGAATTATGTTGATGCATGTGATTATGTACTATATACTGATATATATGTGATTTTATTTTGTCCACCAGTTCACTGATGACCTAGTTTTAGGTCCTGGAATACTTGAGGGATGTCACAATAAATCAGTATGTGTCACATTTGCCACATACCTTTGTTATGCATAAACCCTGATAACGCATAGCCTTGGAGGGGTCCCGACGTTATGTGTTATGATCAAGTGTACTGTATATCAAGACTCAAAAAGAAATCACCTCACTGCCACTAACCTGTGTTCTTAGCAAGGTGCCTGCAACCACAGCATGCAGATCTGAGCGTTTAGCAGGTCCATTCATCACCACTACCGATCTCTTCTCCAAGCTCAACCCTCATCTTGTCCATTATCTCAAGGCTCATTGTCTACCCATTTGTAAAACACATTGTCCTTTCTCAACCAGTATCATGCCCCGCAAACATGCTGAGTCAAGCACATCAGCCAGAAAGAGAGAGGCATTGTTTGACTCATCGGCACATATGGGACCTGTAGCAGGAGAGAAGGATCCACCACCATATGGTGCACAGCACTGCCAGGACGCACTTTGGGAGGGTGAGGAAATTGCACTGTGATAACTACTAGCTTACTCATTGAGAAGCAGGTGGGAATGAGATGCTCCCTCCACTGTGGCATTTGTTTACTGTATTGGATAGTACACTACAATATCAAGATGACACGCTGATTATGGCTTCATTGCACTGACCTTTACCAGGGGTGTGACTAGGTGAGTGGAGAAAGCGTCACTAGGAGCAAGGGACTCATGACAAAGCATAGATGTACTTGGACAACTCATTGCTGCTGGATGCAAATGGTACGTCTCACCACTCGGTCGGTCCTACTTCATCAATCACAACACTTGGACCACATCGTGGAAGAAACCAACACAAGAACACCCAGCAGGGAGCTTGATGCCGGAGTGCATCATCGAAGGTCACTCCTGCTGCATATGGAATCTTATCTGCTTGAGCACCAGTTGCAATATACTGAGTGTATCAGAGGACTGTTCGATTTACCAGTGGAAATGGGATGGAGAGCCAGTAGGAAAGCCTTTGGATAGCCATGGGGCACAGATAGGCTTGATGGCTGTATCCCCAGATGAAACAATGGTTGTGAGTGGAAGTCCAGGCGGCAGACTACAGCTGTGGAACATAAAGAAGGGCAGTATGGTTGGCAATCCATGGGAGGGGCATAATGGTCAAGTGAGGTGCCTCGATTGGTGTCCCAATGCTCTGGAGATAGCAAGTGGATTGACTGATGGCACCATTCAACACTGGAACCCGGATAATGGCTGACAAATAGCACCACCAATAGAGACCGGTCACAGCTGGGTAAATGCTGTCAAATACTCTCCACAAGGCGACAAATTCACGAGTGGGGGTGAGGACGAGATGATCAGTGTGTGGTCAAAGGATGGGCAGCTGCTTATAAAGATCAAGGGACATGAAGACATGGTGACATCGTTGTGTTGGTCAAAGGACAGTGCATACATCTTCTCTGCATCATATGATGGCACTATCCAACAATGGTGGTTGATTGATGGAGAGCAGCTTGTTGTTCTTTGAGGTCATATGAGCCCTGTCAGATCTGTTTGTCTGTCACCTAATGAAAGATATCTTGTTGGGGCATCAAATGACTACTCTGTTCACATCTGGGATCTCAAAACCAATCAACAAGTCGGAGATCCACTCTTACACGACGACCAACTATTGGCTGTTGTTATGTCCTCCGATGGAAAATACATTGCCAGTGCTGGATTGGATGCAAAGGTCTATGTATGGAGCGTGGAGGCAGCACTCAAACAGCAGGGTGTGTGTATCTACATTGTGTTTTGACGTTTTTTCTATTTTCTGAAGGTTTTGGTTTGTTTAGGGTACAGATGATGTTAATGTAAAGCCTGACACAAAGTCCAAGGTAAGTCAGTCCTGCATCTCTTTCATACTTGACCTCACCTTTTTACTAGAGACATCCAATCCAACTGAGAGACTCCCATCCAATCATTGCTAAACAGCTTGCAAATAATAGAGGCATTGGGAGATATGTTAGTATAATTTTTCAATCCTCAGCTTTGGCCAACCTTCCTTTGATGCAGGGAAATGATTTCTTTGGGAGCAGTGCAAACTGTGGGTCAGCTCCACCTGCAACCCCATTGTCCCCCCTTCATAATTTATTCGATTCCCTGCATGTCAGCATGTGACCTCCAAATTCACCTCAATCAATATTGTGTGAGCCCTGACCTTGGAACTTCAATTTATTTCCTGTAGGGATTTCCAGATGGACCGTTTTTGTATTGTCTGCTTGTGATGAAGACATAAGTTGCATGCTATTACTCCTCTTTCATTCCACTGAAATCCTATGCAGAGATACGGCATTACCCCTGAATCTGATGCAGAAGCTGCTGCAGCCATGCAATGTACGGATGGCAATGAGACTGATATTCCAGCACAACTTGCTCAACCTGCAGTAGGCATACAAGGATATGAAGGACAACCCACAGAAACACAAGGCTCAAGTGGTAGGACTGGAGAAGTTTCCTATGAGGTTAATTGTTGTGGATTTTTCTTTGGTCATTGTTGTCCCACCTCACATCGGTTGTAAGGTCATGTATTTGAACTCTGTTGTTCAATAATTTTGCCTCTTCCATTTTGTGTGCTTTACGCTCATTCGCTTAGCTCATGCCATCTTATATGTGTACACCTGCATGTTATGTATCATATATTTAGATCACGAAGGGGGGGGCATTCAGATTCTATATGTCAAAACACTGATCTCCCTGGTCCGCTTCAACTTCCATTGATTCCTATGATGCTCCAAAGCATACTTTAATATAGTGCACGATACACTATCGAGTGCGCGACACACAACATTGAGTGCGCGACACACAACATTGAGTGCGCGACACACTATTGAGTGCGCAATACGTCGAGTGCACGATACGTCGAGTGTGCGATACAAAAGCAGCTTGGTTGGGCCTTGAAGCTTCGAAGTCATGTCAATATTTTGAATTTTTCAACAGGCAAGTCTACTATAAGCGCTAGTAACTATTAGTATTAAGTCCGAAAACAAAAAGTAGCAAGGCATAGGCATTAAGGGCTCCATAGTAATCATTATGGTACTAGAAAAGATTCTGAGTAGACGGCAAGAGGACATGAGAGATTAGACGGCAATATTGACATCACCAATAAAATAATCTTCTGACCAGGGATTAATACAAGGAGGGGCAGATGGACTATCGGGGTTGTGGATACCACACAATATGATATCAGATGGTTGGGGCTCTATGAAGTCGGGTGGCATGGCAACACGACGGCATTGAACAATGGGTGAATGAAACTGTGTCAAAAGTAAATCAGCAGTGCCAAAACGTGACCCAGTGAAAAAAGAGCTAGTGGAGGGGATAGTATTTTTGCTTGGGGTCTGTGGTGCCAGAGACAGGTGTTGAATAACATCAGGGAGTTCATCGATATCTGCATTAGAACTTTCTAAAAAAACTGAATTTAAAGTGAATTAAGAAAGTGAAAATTTGCATTAAAATAGGGACGCACATTTCATAGGCTGTGACTCCTGTGAGGCCGCATTAACAATACTTGATGCTCAGAGATCTGACACTGGCTCCTCAAGCTCGTGCTTCACCACAGCGCCTACTAGAATAATGAATAAGTGAGAGTATATTTCGCAAGCTACACAACACACCTTTCATTTTTTTGATGACTGGTTTGTATTCCATGTTGGAGAGAATCTCGATGGACAATGATGTTTGTTGCCCACATTTGAGCTTTGCAGCAGCTAGAGAGTTGGATAAATTGAAATAAAAAGTAAGTGGTTGAAATTAATAAACTTACCTGCACATGTTAAGATTATTGGTTTCGCTGCCTCAAAACTTGAAGCATCATCAGAGTTGAGAAACATTCCATCATCCCCCATCTCTTGATATTTGGGATCCCATGATGCATAGACACATTCTGGAATTCTTCTCCACAATGCTGAAGATATTCAGGTTAGCATTGAGAAATTATATAAGATGGAGGCTTCTTACCTATGATGATGTTTGCATCTTTCACAGGGCACTTGGGTCTACCTCAGAATCGTGCAAGATCATTGCCATCGGGCCTTTCGATATTTACAACATCATAGTGGAGCCTCTCCTTGCTTATCAAAACCCATGGGAAAGAAGGTATGCCAATTCCTTTCCCCTTTTCTGTTGAATTGACATATCCAAATGCCAAAGGGAACACTTCATTCTGCAGGTATTGATTAACTTCATCGTGAGTCCACATTTGGCTGAAGGAAAACCTGCTAGCAGTCTCAATATGTGCGCATTGACGATGTTCCATGTTGTGCAACTTTGTCCGTGATGGTGGGATTGTATTGATGAGGTTACCATCATCCTTCAACATATTGTGTTAGTTTTTCTTGTGCAATGAACGAGATATATATTCTGAATTTACATTGAGACAATTCACCAAGAGAAGCCATTGTGCGACCTTGATAATTTTATCCTTGGAGTCAAATTGGCTCATGGCCCTTGCTTTACCAGTAACATGATGAAATTGCAACTGCTCTGACTTGTAAGTGCCACACATCTGTCATTGTGTATTGCACACCTTATTGTTCTGCAAATTTAAACCAGTTCTATATCCATTCATGACTTCATCTCTTGCTTGCTCGACACCTATCTTCTGATTGAGCATGCTTTTGGAAGAGGCAGCAGATTGCAAGGATCTTGCTGCAGACCCTGCGGCACTGGTCTTTTCCTTGAATATGCTGACGAGTCTCTTTTTTCCAGATGTGGTTCCATCTTGCTTTTGAGGTGCGTCTCTTGTAGGATCCAGAGCTTCGGGATGCTTGCTAAAGCCATGTTGGCATTCTCGACAGTAGTACAGAGCATCGGAATTAGAGGGTGGGGTGAAGCATTCACAGGTGCAGGCTTGCCCTCCCTGATGAAAGTCTCAGCAGTATACTTCACGGTGATCAGACATAGCAGTGTGTGGAATGAAGTAAAGATGGTTTGGGAGAACAAATCAGTGTGGGTCATAGATTTTTTTATTTTGCATAAGCATTGGTTATTGACTCATAAGTCTCATCAATTTCTAAGCTTATTCATTCACTACATGTAACTACAAGTATCCTTCTGTTTTGAACAAATATAATGCTGATAACCCTTGACACCAAAGTGTTGCATGAGCTTCCCAGATAGGATCACTTAATGAGACAGTAATTGATTTTGTTCCGTGCCTTCCAAATTGTAAGACTTCAATCATGGCTGCATCATCACCTTGCTCATCAGGGAGCAAGCCATAACCTTCTGGTACAATGCTCTTGGTAACTATTTGCTCGACTGTTGAAAAAAAAAGGTTTTCATCATGCTGAGTCTCAAAGGGGCTTTTCTTTCCGGGAACTTCAACAGCAGCATGTCAAATATTCCGTTCCTGGTCTTCTTCTATCTGTAAGATGAGCTGATCCTCTGAATTAGTGTCTTCATCATCAGGATGGCCAGCACCAGTCTGCCCATGATGACGAGTCTGCTCTTGCCCATGAGTGCCATAGTATTGTTCAATTGTGTCTGGATGAATTCCGTTACAATTGTCTCAGTAAATACCAAGTGTTGCCTGGCTTATCAGTCGCAAATCCTGTGATGAATATGGTGTCAGTTACTTTATGTTCAAATTTTTGATGTGAAATCTCACTTGTGGACTCTTATTGTTTGTTGATGGGCCAGCAATTGGATGGAGGTTCCATTCTTCATGAAAGGTCTTACAGTCATTATTGATAGCATCCAAGAATAGATTTTGGAGAAGCCACAAATGACCTGTTTGCTCGATATTGAGCCTGTGCAGTCTTTCCAAACAGCTAAAGAATGCCCTCCAAAGTCTCACAAATTGTGTTCCTACTTCAACCCAGAGGCGCTCAATCCTCGAATTTCGAGTTGACCTGTGGTACTTGTGTGAGAAAAACACCCAAAGGATCAAATGATGATACTAGGCTTATGATCCCCACATAAACGAGCCACGATTTGGGCCATCTCACATGACCATATAAGTGGCAGCATCAATATTTTCACCACCATGGTCACCTTGCATATGTGATGGCATACCATACTCTTCTTGTGCTTTGGGAAACAAATCGAGAACTGTTGTAGCACAATTATTTGTGCTCATTTCTAGTGCAACCACCTGGACAAGCCATGATTAATTTCTGATGACTTCAACTCGGACTTGTGACATACTGTTCTGCAGTAACCATCAATAAATCCATGGACAACGAATCCCCACTGAATCATCTTATGGTGCCCATCCAAATGCCAAAGAGCATTGGAATGCTTAACTTTATATTTTCTTCTTCGAATAATTTGTTGGCATCTGAATTGGCATCCAATTCTGTCAACTCATTGTAGGGATTGCCAAATTTGCCTATGTTGTACATGGACACCTTGTTGTCGAAGAAAACCAACAAGGTACCGAAACCCAGACTCTGGTCTACGACATTTGAATATCTTCACCAAAGCATCAAGGTTATGGTCATGAAGGTTGGAATAGCACCTTTCAATGCTGTGTTGATGCATGTAGTGCCATAATGTTGCTGGATGAACATCAACAATCTTTGCTAGCTCAACATGTCTGATGTGATGTTGAGCAGAGGTGGCCTTGATCAAGAAATCAAGGTCTATTATTTTTTTGGGCCGCCCTCATTTTCCCGTGTTCTTTATTCCAGTTAATTCTGGTATATCAACATGATGCTCCTCTCTGTAAGATCCTGTCTCAGTATCCATGTATCTATCAAAATTTAGGCTTACTCCTCACAGTAGTCCCTAGGTGTTCCAGACCTGAAACTACACAGCCAAGTACCATGGCTACATCAGCTAACCATTTGACTGGGAGAGACTCTGACATTTCATCTGAGTCTGTGTTATTGGCATCTGGTGTGAGTGCTTTGAGGATTGGAAGTGCATTTGATGAGATAGCATCCACATGGAAAGCAATATGGGTAGGGTCAGCTCCATCTGCTCGAAGAACTTGGATTGCATGATCATAAGTGTGTTGGATATTCTCATAGGCAGCTTGGATTTCTGCCGACCAATTTTTGGTTTCAGGGAGAAGCAGAAGTGACAATGACAATGAAGGACTGTTTATGTCCATTGTTTCCAAGAGTCCAAGTCAGTGCAGGTTGGAAGGGTAATAAAATTGTCACCAAGGCATAATTCACAGGTGACGTGGTCAAGCCATTGTTTTCTGTGTCCAGTTTTATTACTAACAATGAGTTACTCACTCAAGTCATCTCTTTCAAGCTGTTCTTCATTCTACTAGTCAACCTTGCAACTATCAGTGGTTCAATGACTGCTCAACACCATCAAATGTTCTACTTCTCAGATGGCACTCACATCTTCCAGGTTTGTGCACCACTTAGTATCTGAATAGTCTCATAGTGGATACTGCAGACTGACAGTGTACTACTACTAGGCAGGACACTCACTCTTTAGGGTGCATGCAAGCATTCTTGGGGATAAATCACTTGCTTTCCAAGACATGTTTGCTGCAAGCCAGGGCACTGTCATATGCCATTCCAGACTCTCAACTCTAAATCCGCTTCTCCGGATATCCGGATCCGAGATCTGGATCTCAAATGATCTGATCTATCTTTATCTCCCTTCCAGAATCCAAACCCTATATCAGCGCCCAACCCCATTTATGCTGCCCCTGTCTCTGGACTCTGGTTAACCATGTTTTCCTTTTGATTATTGATCCATTACATACATTTCATTTCCAGTGTTCATTATTTGTGATCCGTCCTACTTACTAATAGACTCTGCATATGCTTTGTACATAGCCTTTATGTTTGCTGACTGATTCCTATATGATACCTACAGTATATAAACCTCCTGTAACTCTCAGAAATACTCCAGTTTGAATATCATCTTAGTTCCTGCTCATTCCTGTGTCCTCTGGACTCGAGATAAGTCTCTTGTCATATTCCGAGTCTTAGGATTGCATCCTAGACTACATTTCTGACTCTACCTTAAGGGTAGTCCATCCTCTGTTAGTTTCTAGTCTGGACTTCGTCCGGATTAGTCTTATCTGCTTGCCCAGGTAATATCCAGACGTCCATCGGATTTATCTCACATTTCAGATCCAGACATCCATTATCCGCCCTAGTCAAATCCCGGAAACTCTGGACAACTGTTCTAGCCCCCAGAAATTAAGGGCACATACTCGGGAAAGGGGCACAGCATACGAGCTGAGGCCAAGCCCTTGTGATCCAACCCCCTTGAGCACGCGACCTTAACAGGCATCCAACTTGAACAGGTCAATGGTAGTACTGATGACAGGCCTATTTGTGTGCCGTTGCAAGTAAGCGAAAGTGCGTTTGAAATATTTTTGTCTGTCTGTTACAACAAGTGAGTTTTTTTCAAGTTTTTTTCACAATGGACGACTCGGACAAGTCTGACAGTTATACCATACAGATGGAGGCCTGATGTCCTCAAAATATGTAACAAAGCTGTTATTCAACTGCTCGAGCTGAGTGACATGTATCTTTGCAAAGATGCACGAGTCTATGCTGTTCACCATCTCCAGTGGCAGTGTTACTCGCTTGAGCCAACATGACTTATCTCACTCGCATTAAAGTACAACCTCAAAGAGATCCTGCCACATGCTTTTGAATGACTCATTTCAGCTTGCATCAATGATATCTCCAATGAGGAATTTCATGCTGTTGGGTCTGTTTTATGGAACACAATGTTCAAAGTCAAGGAACAACTCAATGTACATCATCAGATCATTGCATGTGAAGCCCCACCTATGGTGCATGCGGGAACTTGCACAAAGCAAAAACTATGCGAGGATGACTGGAAGCAGCTGTGGTGGAATGGAATGGGCAGATTTTTACTGGACGGACGAAATCCCCAGCCTTACAAGGATGCTGTCGAACACTTCGAGAAACTTGACATCGGACAAATCAATCTCGACTGCTGGAAGGCTGTGTTATATATTGTGAAAGCTCACAGTGCTTTTGATCATGAGCAAAAACTTATTACTCATACAGCTGATGATCTTGTGAAGTACTTAATTGTCGAGCCTAACTTTGAAGATTTCAGTCGTCTAGTTCACTAGAATAGATGGTGCATTGAGCACTTGATGTTGTGTATCACGTGCTTGGTGTCTTGTGTCACACACTCAATGTTGTGTATCGCGCACTCAATAGTGTATCGCACACTATATTAAAGTACGCTTTGGAGCATCATATATGTCATGTTGGGATTTGTATTGTTGACAGGAATCTATGATGCTCCAAAGCGTACTTTAATATAGTGTGCGATACACTATTGAGTGCGCGATACACAACATTGAGTGTGTGACACAAGACACCAAGCACGTGATACACAACATCAAGTGCTCAATGCACCATCTATTCTAGTGAACTAGACGACTGAAATCTTCAAAGTTAGGCTCGACAATTAAGTACTTCACAAGATCATCAGCTGTATGAGTAATAAGTTTTTGCTCATGATCAAAAGCACTGTGAGCTTTCACAATATATAACACAGCCTTCCAGCAGTCGAGATTGATTTGTCCGATGTCAAGTTTCTCGAAGTGTTCGACAGCATCCTTGTAAGGCTGGGGATTTCGTCCGTCCAGTAAAAATCTGCCCATTCCATTCCACCACAGCTGCTTCCAGTCATCCTCGCATAGTTTTTGCTTTGTGCAAGTTCCCGCATGCACCATAGGTGGGGCTTCACATGCAATGATCTGATGATGTACATTGAGTTGTTCCTTGACTTTGAACATTGTGTTCCATAAAACAGACCCAACAGCATGAAATTCCTCATTGGAGATATCATTGATGCAAGCTGAAATGAGTCATTCAAAAGCATGTGGCAGGATCTCTTTGAGGTTGTACTTTAATGCGAGTGAGATAAGTCATGTTGGCTCAAGCGAGTAACACTGCCACTGGAGATGGTGAACAGCATAGACTCGTGCATCTTTGCAAAGATACATGTCACTCAGCTCGAGCAGTTGAATAACAGCTTTGTTACATATTTTGAGGACATCAGGCCTCCATCTGTATGGTATAACTGTCAGACTTGTCCGAGTCGTCCATTGTGAAAAAAACTTGAAAAAAACTCACTTGTTGTAACAGACAGACAAAAATATTTCAAACGCACTTTCGCTTACTTGCAACGGCACACAAATAGGCCTGTCATCAGTACTACCATTGACCTGTTCAAGTTGGATGCCTGTTAAGGTCGCGTGCTCAAGGGGGTTGGATCACAAGGGCTTGGCCTCAGCTCGTATGCTGTGCCCCTTTCCCGAGTATGTGCCCTTAATTTCTGGGGGCTAGAACAGTTGTCCAGAGTTTCCGGGATTTGACTAGGGCGGATAATGGATGTCTGGATCTGAAATGTGAGATAAATCCGATGGACGTCTGGATATTACCTGGGCAAGCAGATAAGACTAATCCGGACGAAGTCCAGACTAGAAACTAACAGAGGATGGACTACCCTTAAGGTAGAGTCAGAAATGTAGTCTAGGATGCAATCCTAAGACTCGGAATATGACAAGAGACTTATCTCGAGTCCAGAGGACACAGGAATGAGCAGGAACTAAGATGATATTCAAACTGGAGTATTTCTGAGAGTTACAGGAGGTTTATATACTGTAGGTATCATATAGGAATCAGTCAGCAAACATAAAGGCTATGTACAAAGCATATGCAGAGTCTATTAGTAAGTAGGACGGATCACAAATAATGAACACTGGAAATGAATGTATGTAATGGATCAATAATCAAAAGGAAAACATGGTTAACCAGAGTCCAGAGACAGGGGCAGCATAAATGGGGTTGGGCGCTGATATAGGGTTTGGATTCTGGAAGGGAGATAAAGATAGATCAGATCATTTGAGATCCAGATCTCGGATCCGGATATCCGGAGAAGCGGATTTAGAGTTGAGAGTCTGGAATGGCATATGACAGTGCCCTGGCTTGCAGCAAACATGTCTTGGAAAGCAAGTGATTTATCCCCAAGAATGCTTGCATGCACCCTAAAGAGTGAGTGTCCTGCCTAGTAGTAGTACACTGTCAGTCTGCAGTATCCACTATGAGACTATTCAGATACTAAGTGGTGCACAAACCTGGAAGATGTGAGTGCCATCTGAGAAGTAGAACATTTGATGGTGTTGAGCAGTCATTGAACCACTGATAGTTGCAAGGTTGACTAGTAGAATGAAGAACAGCTTGAAAGAGATGACTTGAGTGAGTAACTCATTGTTAGTAATAAAACTGGACACAGAAAACAATGGCTTGACCACGTCACCTGTGAATTATGCCTTGGTGACAATTTTATTACCCTTCCAACCTGCACTGACTTGGACTCTTGGAAACAATGGACATAAACAGTCCTTCATTGTCATTGTCACTTCTGCTTCTCCCTGAAACCAAAAAATTGGTCGGCAGAAATCCAAGCTGCCTATGAGAATATCCAACACACTTATGATCATGCAATCCAAGTTCTTCGAGCAGATGGAGCTGACCCTACCCATATTGCTTTCCATGTGGATGCTATCTCATCAAATGCACTTCCAATCCTCAAAGCACTCACACCAGATGCCAATAACACAGACTCAGATGAAATGTCAGAGTCTCTCCCAGTCAAATGGTTAGCTGATGTAGCCATGGTACTTGGCTGTGTAGTTTCAGGTCTGGAACACCTAGGGACTACTGTGAGGAGTAAGCCTAAATTTTGATAGATACATGGATACTGAGACAGGATCTTACAGAGAGGAGCATCATGTTGATATACCAGAATTAACTGGAATAAAGAACACGGGAAAATGAGGGCGGCCCAAAAAAATAATAGACCTTGATTTCTTGATCAAGGCCACCTCTGCTCAACATCACATCAGACATGTTGAGCTAGCAAAGATTGTTGATGTTCATCCAGCAACATTATGGCACTACATGCATCAACACAGCATTGAAAGGTGCTATTCCAACCTTCATGACCATAACCTTGATGCTTTGGTGAAGATATTCAAATGTCGTAGACCAGAGTCTGGGTTTCGGTACCTTGTTGGTTTTCTTCGACAACAAGGTGTCCATGTACAACATAGGCAAATTTGGCAATCCCTACAATGAGTTGACAGAATTGGATGCCAATTCAGATGCCAACAAATTATTCGAAGAAGAAAATATAAAGTTAAGCATTCCAATGCTCTTTGGCATTTGGATGGGCACCATAAGATGATTCAGTGGGGATTCGTTGTCCATGGATTTATTGATGGTTACTGCAGAACAGTATGTCACAAGTCCGAGTTGAAGTCATCGAAATTAATCATGGCTTGTCCAGGTGGTTGCACTAGAAATGAGCACAAATAATTGTGC